AAAAAGTTATAACACTTTAAAGTTTTTACTAATAAACATTGGATGCGTTTTACTGTCCGGTACTGTACAAAACTTATATATCACGACAGCGTGAGTAGATAATTACATTCAACTGGTACTTCTGTTTTTTGCTAACCTTCCAGTTATTTATTTCAGAACCGATGATACTGTTTTAAAACAAAAAATGCCGGATTATTCTTACCTTCGAAGCCTATGGTGGAAGGAAGGAAATTTTCACCCAGAAGCAAAGTGGGAAGAAGCTACGTAAGTTTTTTCATGGTGGGCTGGTTATATATGAACAAACCTAATTTTGGCTGATTATAACAAGGCTTCCATATGTGCTCGCTGAAGGCGTAACTTTGGACGAGTACGAACGTCGCACCGACAAGTTTAACGTTCATGGTTTATGGGAATGGACAAATTATAAAGTCTCAGTTTATGAACTTCCATTAGAGCCACATGAAACTTGTATTGGCGCGATTATTAAGTATATTAATCGGAGCTGTAGTGATGTTGACGATACCGATGCCAGTATTATAGGCTTAGGAGCAGCCCGTAGGCATTAATTTATTAGCTTTCTCAGTTCTATTCATGATATCAAACTAGTAATAAAATAATAAACCATCCATATTAAAAAATTTTGAAAATTGGTAGAAAAGATAATTTATTCTATTTTGACATTACGTGAGTTCGATGTTGAAGTTCTCCTCTTCGTGTTCTTCTGTCAGTGGAACAAAAATGCCACGCCTACATGGGTTTATTCTTTAAAATGATACACAAGCAATAAAACATCACTTTAAGAACTTACTCGCATGCGTGAAGGTGTTTCGTCCTCAGAAATCGGATCGATTTTAACAACTATTGCATCATGTACACGACTAAGATCCTTTAGCCAGTAATTTCCTACCTTATCGAATACGTGTTCTATACTTTCAGAATATGCGACTTCCACAATAATATTTGGCCATGGTTTCCTCTAGAATCATGAAAATGTAAAACTTAATGTTAAAGGGCTCAGAACCAATAGAAAAAATAAAAGACACCTTTCCATCACTTCCGGTTGGTGCAGGCACTCCTGGTTTCATTGGACGAAATGATGCGTCAACTTCTTTTCCAGAACGGTCAGCACGAGTTCCTTTAAAAGAAAGAATATTAGTTTGATATCATGAATAGAACTGAGAAAGCTAATAAATTAATGCCTACGGGCTGCTCCTA